AAGAATATTGTATTTGTTTCACCACACTACAAACCAATCTGCATTTGATTCAAAAGCAGCACATAACCTCTACACACTGCTCCTCCTCAGCCACGAATTACTGCAGTTACCATTTTCTGAGATACACAGGTGTGGGCAACATCTGGAAGAGGACACCACAACCAGCTGAAGAACTCCCACATGTGATGTAAATCCTAAATCTTGCAGCAGGCAAGAAAAGTCAGTTCTCTACTTTGCTTCAAGACTAACAAAAACGCATGTAGGAAGCAGCTGAGTTTGTGAAGTACCTATTAAAAAAAGTACCACCTATTAAAAAAAAAGTAGGTCAGGCTTAAGAGTTTGACCTACTGATCTTTGCTTTGGCAAAAGTACAAACTGAGTTTACATAATGCTGCTTGCATCTAAGTGCTGGCTGGAACCTAAGCAAAACAACTGTTCTGAATAAGCCTCAGTCATAAGCACGATTCCATTTTTCAGATGTCAGTTTTAAATCCCTGATTTGCAGTACATAGCATTGCAGCCTTACTTTTAAGATTCATATTTTAAGTGACACTTCCGTTAATCCCACTGTCGTATCACATCAATGAATGTAGTAAGCATGCCTGAAAGCAGCTCTAAGTTGATTTAAAGAAACCATTACTATTATTAGCAGAACACAGACAGTTCCCAAAGCCTCAACAATGCATCTTCATGACAATTAGTACCGTTTATAAGGCAGATTTACAATGATGTGCTCCTTGGAGGAAAGCAAAGGGCAGACCAAGGCCTGCAGCCACACCACTGAATGCAATCCAGTTCTACAGCAGCCGTACACATGGCTGTGAGACGAACACTTCCAAGAGAAAGTTATTCTAAATACGTAAAACTCAAGTACCCCACCAAAAATACCTGCTACCAGAAAAAGACAAATGCAGTACCAGTTACTCTTAAATTTATCCTCTGCTTAACAAAGCAAAGCTATGATAGGAAACCAAGGTTTAAAATGAATAAAATGAAAGCTTTGCTTCCAATTTCTCACGATGAAGAATAGCACCTCTGTTCTACTGAGAGCCCTGCCATGACAACTTTCCAGCACCCAACCTCAGTCACGCCAGGAGCTCGGGTTGGAAGGAGAACACAAGTTACTGGCTCCCAGACCTGTGCTCCTTAAACTATGGATTTCTTACCCAGTTCTTCAACACTCATTAGAGACCGAGTAACTCAACAGGACTTGGGGAGACACAAACTAACAACTGTATACAATCACACTAAAGAGAAAACAAGACATTTGCCTAACAGAAGCAGTATTCAGTTGTACAGTAAAAAGCAAATGCAAAAAAACTCGGTTCCCCTCTGGACAAAACCAGGCAGTTCTCTCCTCCCTGCTCCAGCATGCTCAAGTAACCAGGCTAACACAGCACTCTTTTATGAGATTCTTCCTACACATAAAATAGTTCCATATGTTTAAAAGTTGAGCAAGCACAAAGTTAATTCATTACAACAATGCCTCACTGCTAGCTTTTCTTGTGCCTTAAGGCCTGGTCAGTGACAGAGCTCCAACACAGCACACATGCTCTGCTCTGTCAGACGTTGGCACTGCCTGGAAGACATGTAGCTGTCAAAGGGAATGGATGGAGATCCTGAGGGTGTTGGGGCCACTCCCAGCAGGGGCACCCTGCTTACAGGCAGTATTCAGGACGTGGGTTTCTACACTCTGCCAATCCTTACTAATTCTTATGTGCTCTGTGTGGCTCTTCTCTTGGCATTCTCAGAGGCACCAAGACCTTGGGACTTGTTGCCCTGCTCAGCAGTGTGCCAGAGCACTGCCTCTGCCCATCATCCACCTAAGGCAGCCAAAGGAAAGTGTGTACTGGGACATGATAACCAAGAACCTGATTTTAAACACGTCTGATGCTCACAATGGCTTTGCAGATCACTTTTTAGCAAGCACTCATGTCACCCAAACTTGCTTTGTGGTGTGTACACAAAGCAGCCATAAGATTTTACCCTATGTCTCACTGCGATGCACATACCAATATAAAAGGATGCAACAAACACTTGCTTTGCGTCCACCACACTTAAATTCTGACATTCAATTTTACTTAATAGTTGCTTTGTACTGTAAGTTGGAATCACCAGTGCTCCATAGAGAGGGATAACTAAGGCACACAAAACAAGTTGATAGCATAGCTTGCAGAAAGGAAGGATTATTTGATTAAATCTCCTGCTGAATTATTTGACCCACCCTAAAAGCATTCCAAACCACCAACCCCCCCCAAACACGTACCACATCTTGTTTCAACTGTGGGTGCTGGTTGTGTCTTGTCCACAAAAGGACTCAGCACTGCTGCTTAATAACCTGTCACCCCCTTTCTCCCATACAAAACATCAAAACCATGATAGACCATCCCACACAGAAAGGGGACACACCATCAGCTTTTGAAGTTTGTTACAGAAGCATACAGATACAGGAGCAAAATTCATTACTAGTGAAATGAGTGAGATTATAGGCACTGACTTACGTTAAAGCCAACTCTGCCCTTATTTCTCACACGGGATACCAGTTTATGAATAAAAGGATGTCAGTACAGGAATGCTGGGGTTCCCAGATGGGCGTTTACCACTGTTATACAAGAGGTACAACTGAGAGCTCCGTGAGAGAAAAATCTCCTTTTCCAACTTTCCTTTATAAGCTCAAAGATGTATAAAATACCGGAAACTAAAATAAGGAATGATTCTTGCAAAAATTCGTAGAGGAAGAGCACCAAACAAAGACTTAGATCCACTTCCATGGAGGTGTATTTCCTCTCTGGGCCTATAAGCATCTGAAACCTTCAGTGCCCTCCATGGCACTCATTCCCTCATAATTACAGAGCTAGAGAGGAATTTTTACAGCCAACAGTTTTCAACTTACTATAAAGCTGCTTATAAGAGTAAAACTTGGGAGACACATCAGCCCTTCTCCCATACTGTTCTCCTGAGAATATAAGCTCCTTTAAATGAAACATTTAAAGCTATCTACATTTTTCAGGAAAAACAAAACAAAACAAAATCAACATTAAAGCACCCAATTTACTTTGATATCCCATTTAGCAGAAAAAATCACCAGCACCAATGGAGTATGATGTATGCATTACTTTGCATTTAGCCCAGAATGGATCTTTCTCCTGAAACCCAAGCCCCGGTTTCCAGTCTCAGTGGCTGCAGAGGGCTGTGATGGAGCTGCTGCAGTGCTGTGTCCCCACATCTGCTGAGAGCTCTGCTCTACGCAGTCCCCAAGCAGCTGCAGCACTGAGGCTGGGCTGCTCCGTGCTGCCTTCAGGACTGAGGGCAGCAGCCAAGCAAGGAAACATGATCCCTCCCCTTCCTCCTTGGTACCAGGCTGACTTGTAAGGCAGCACCTAGAATTACTCCCACAGCAGATGAACCAAAGGACAAAGAGGCTACGCAAAGAAACGGTTCCTTTCACCAGCTGAGAGCAGGACACTTCAGAAGACCTACTGTGCGGCTGTGAGGGGTCGGGTCTGTGTGCTGAAGGGTTCCTGCATCTTGCTAGCAGCTGGGGCTAAGATACAGTCAGGGCAGCATCCTCACAGCAGTGTCCTCCTATGCTGTACTTCTCCACAGCATCTCTGGCTACTGAATGGCACTCAAACAGCCACCTCATCATTCAGTACCACAGTGCTTACTACAGAAGTCCTTGAGTGAATGGGCATCTTTGCACTTCCTTTGAGTTTGGGCAAAAGGTTCCTTTCAGCAGTTCTAGGCACTGGAAATGCATGTTTATATTGCTTCTAGCCAGAAATCCTAGAACAGAGTAATTCAAATCCCACATCGACAAAGATCTACCTAACAGCCATTAAGGAAGCCATGGTATGATAGCCACCTCTCCTTCGTGATTTCTAAAAGCCAACAATTTGTTTGGCTTCAAAAGATGGCAATAAAATAAGTCACTGGTCTGTCAAAACACAATTTGAAAAGTGCTGCAGAAAATCCATACAGATTTCATGTTTGCCAGCCTAACTGCAGGTAAAACCTGTCTGCAATCCTAAAAACTCTAAAAGATAGGAATGGCAGGTGGTTGTCAAGCAATCACCCATCAAGTAACTGAGAATTCATGATTTCTATGCACATTATATCAAGGAGCTGTTTTTGTATTATAAACAGACATTAAGCATTTTCCTTTAACAGATACTAACGGTCTGCGCTTAGTTCCCCATGAGCAATTTTTTCAAGACAGATTTTACTATCTCATTGCTGGAAAGGCAGAGAGAAACCAACATCTGACACACGGGGTAAGATCTAGGGACAGACACATCTACATGTTTATCACAAGGATTAATTTATGTCACTGCCAGCGCCTACAGAAGGGCTCCTTACTGCAGCACACTGCTGTAGGGATGTAAGAGGAGAGAAGCCCTGCTCCTCAGGGCCACAGGCAGGAAGATCACCGCGACAGGGAGGACGGGACGTCCTATGGGGAGTGCTGAGCGCTGAGCTTGGTGAAGTGACTCGAGCAGGACCAGCCAGGTTCCAGGCTGGACTGACAGAAACAACACAGCCAAACCATACGGATAAAGACAGCGGGTCAGAGGAACGCCCTGCCATCAGCCTCTGTCTGCCGAGGCTTTCAATACTCCACCAGAGTAAAGGACACGACGACTCCACTTGGAACAGCTCAGTCCTCTTATAGAAGCCGAGCATCAGGCGAGGCAGCAGCAGGAAGTTTTAGAGCACCCTGCTCGCACACAGGACAGAAGCCTCCGGCTCCGTTCCGCGGATGCTCGGAGCACACCCCGCTCCGGAGACCCGCAGGACCGGCCCGCCCCGCGCCCCTGCCGCCCTCAGCAACAGGCGGCGACCGGCCGCTCCTACCGACAGCATCAGCGCGGCGCGCGGAGCGCCTCGTCCTGTTTTAGAGAAAGTAGAGCCGGGTTCTGGGCTGGAAGCCCTCGGCAGCCGCCGGCCCCGCCCCGCAGCACCGCAGCACCGCAGCCCGCCCGCGGCCCCCGCCTCCTCACCCGCAGACTCGCCGGTGTTGATCCAGTCGGGGTTGGCCAGGCTGGCGATGGCGAAGATGTCCGCGGCCAGGAAGAGGCATCCTGAGATGACGGTCAGTTTGTCCATCTCCTCCGGCCGCCGCCCGGCTCCCGCCGCGGGCCCGGGCCGGAGGCGCCTCACAGCCGCGGCTCCATGGGCCCCGCGCTCCCCTCGGCGGCGGCGCCAGGAACGGCCCCGCGCGGAGACGGAAGCGAACCCGGCGGGCGGGGGAGCGGCGGTGACTCCGGAAGGGAAACCGCGGCGGCCCTGGGCGGAGGGAGGCGGGGCCGGGGGGCGGGCGCTGGAACCGCGGGACCTCTGCTCCGGCACGGGCGGCCCGGGCTCACGGCTGCGGAGGAGCGTCCCGTAGGCGTGCAAATGAAACGCTTGACTCGAATCAACGCGGTGCCGCAAAAACCCTGCCTTCGTCACGGGAAGGAAAAGCAAACGCAACCTGCTTCCGCTGCCTTCCTCTGCGTCTCAGCCAAACTGACGAACCCACGTTCACACCGACACGCTTTCAGTCCCCGTTGCCTACAGGGGTTCTGTGCTGTCCTTTACAGCCCAAATCTTCGCTGCAGCCACGGGAAAGGTGACCAAGAGCCCGCTGGTGCCCCGTTACGTCCATCTCCTGGAGGAGACACGGATAGCAGCACCTGCTCTGCGCTGCGTGCCGTGCGTTCCAACGGAGCACATCGGCACGGCAAGTTCGGAACGCGAGCGCGGCCCCTGCCCCGCGGGAGCAGCAGGGATCCAACCAGGCTGCTGGGAATGGAGAAGTTAACCCACACTGTGGGTAAAAACTGCTGTGGAAAACCCCCTTCTGTTATTCGGTACCCTGTTCTCTACCTGCCTTTAACACATCACTATTTGCAATGAATGTTTATGTAACAGCGCTATTGCTTTTTTTTTTTTTTCCCTCTTGGTAAAAATGTATGACTAAGAAATCAGCCTCTAAATAACTGCTTTCAGGCTCTTTATTTGCCCAGAGCTGGTTTATGGAGTAATACTTCTTTGTCAGTATCATTATACAATTTTTCAGCAGCAACGCAGCAGGCAATGCATGGCCAGAGAGGCACTTAAGGAGGAGGGACTGAGCCATTCAGACAACTGAGAACAGCTACAGCCCCTGGTAAATGTCTCCTTAAACATCTTATTCAATAATACATTGAATACAATTGAATTACAGTTTAAACTGCTTAAATTATCCCCTCACTTCTCACAGGGCAGCTGCCAGTGCTGGAAAACATCACTTAACACAGGCTACAGAACTAAAGGCAAACATGAGGATGGGGGAAACAAGGATTGGGTCTCACATCTGTACCAAACAGACCTTGCTGAGGAAAGCTCTGCAGCCAGCGGTGGCAAGCTAAAAGTACAAAGAAACAGCAGTGATATTCAAATTTAACAGCAGAAGAAATACTCCCTTTCTGCACTGGTGCCTCGGGGCTCTCTCTGATTTATTTACACAGATCAAAAGAAACTCAATTTAAAATGACAGAGCAAAGAACCAAGCAGAAACTGCATAAAGCTAAGTGCCAGAATTCCATTGTAATGAAATGCCTCTGATCTTAAAATAGCTGATATGGGCAACTGTTTCATCACAATCAAGATTTAAGGCTATATGCAAATTCTGCAGGTAAAAAAAATCCCCTATTCATCACCAGGCTTGTTCAAAAACCAGTTGGACTATTACCTTCCAATAGCAAGAAAGCTTAACATTTTCATTCTTTGTTCAGTGCATTCTTGTTCAAATTATTTCACTCTATGAAATAGAACATAAAACTTCCTGATGGCTTGAAATTAATTTCCCTTTTTGTTTGCTTTCTGCTTCTCTTCATTACACAGAATTACACAAAGCAGCAATAAACCAATCTCTCTTCTCTGACGATACACACAGGTGTTCCTCCACTAAATACTTTAAACCTGAAACACACCTTATCAGTATTAGCAGACTACTGCTGATGATTAAGGTTTCTTGAACATCAGACACTTCTATTAAGCTTGTAATTGAAAGCTCTGTAAATTTGACTGTTTCATACGGGTCCCTAGACCAATTACATTAAACTCATGAACTACAGTTTGGGGACAGTAGTGTGCTGTGTTATTACCAAACATTAATTTGTCTGTAATTAGAAATCTATGAAGCAAAGTCTTAAGGGTAATGAAATAATTTAGAATTTCCTGGCTGTCCAGTGGAAATGCTTATCTTCAAGTTAGAGCAATTCTCCCAGCATTGTCCTCATAGTTCCAGTGGTTTCCTTCTCACGCGTTTCAGAGAGAATGTCAAGCACTAGGAAAGAAGATCTACTTGTATGAGGAGGTGAAAGCCATCAAGCAGAGTTCTTCACTTATTTTTAGAGAAAACTTTTCACTTTTGGTGCAAGTGTAAAAATCAGAGAAGTCCTGAGCATAAATAAGAAATGGATTTGCATTTGAGCCAAGTACTTTTTTATTATTAACTTAGGAGCTGATAGCTTTCATCTATTCCCTAAAAAAGCCCTTAGAATATGAAGCCCTTAGAATATGAAGCATATCTATGATTATGGTTTGGGAATTTTTCCTCAGATAGGTCAGCAAGTCAGTAAGATTCCTTGGGCTGCCTAAACTTCCCTGCTCCTAGTCCAACTCATTATTTTAAACATTAATGGCAGAATGACAGTTGCATATGAAGGCATAAACTCTTTGGACGTGGTTATTCCTGGTATTCTCATTACACCACCAGAAGATACAGTGGATCTACCTCTACTACTGAAGCTACCACACACAGCAGCACCAACTAGCAGGCGACACCTGGAAAAACAGGTTTACTATCTCAGAAATTCCCTCTCTGATGGATTTTTGGATGAAGTCTGCCTTAAGTACAAGCAACAAGGTAATTTAGAACAGCAGTGCAGTTATGTCAGGCTATCATTAGAAACTAGATTGTTCTGGTAAGCACCCCAAGTAGTCAAGACTCAGGAATGCTACCAGCCTGAACACAGAAGTGCCCATACTGACATTAGTACCAAGTTTTCCATTACTACTATTGGGTAGTTTGATTAGTTTTATATAAATCAGTACACATGTAGTATGTACAACTGCCCTGGATAGCACTAGTAACAGTTTTAAAAGTGAGCGGCTCACACATTCCCGTATCTCTCACAACACATCAACATACAAAGTGAATTCCTCTAATGACATGGGGGAGTAGTGCTGGAAAACAGGGAACTGACGAATGCACACAAACACACAGGGCAGCTGCTTCCCAAAACAACACAGTTTACTGCTGGCAGCTCTGACAGATACCAAAGGGAAGTGCCATTGTTGGCAGAAAAAACTGAATTCACAGAGATCGCTGTAGGACGTTGCAGCACCCCCAGCCCTGCCCCAACAGCCGCCGTGCTGCAGGCCAGCAGTGCCACCCCCGGGCACTGCTTCTCCTCAGCCACTCCTTCCTCTGAATAAGGAGCATCAAAATACCCAACGTGATCTTACCAAGCCAGGAGCAAGCTGTCCTAAACCAACTTTCTGCCTTACAGAGGGAAAAAAATAAAAACACAAAGCTCCAGAGAACAGCTTTATTTTACATGGCAGGATTTTTCAACCCAGAGGAACAATTTAGAAAAATGGAAGTCTTTTTAAAGATTGCAAGTTTATTGTGTAGTATGCTTAAGAAAAAAAAGCAAGCCAGGTGAAAATGGAAAGTACAAAAATAAATACACTTTTATGATGATATTACAACCACACACAAAATAAAATCAGATAAAATTAAATATGTATAAATAAACATACTAAGTACAAAACCAAATTCTGGCACTTGTCAAGAGAAAGGCCTCATGAAAGTTCAAACAAACAACTGCAGTGCAACACCTTGTTACACAGACCAGAAACATGCTGGAAGTAAGAGGTTCAGATGTGAAACCTGGAGGGAAGCACTCACATTTACTAACACTACTTTTATATCAACACACTACCTATTCTAACAATACAGACAGCATATAAAACAGCCTTTAAATACACCAACCCTTAGCACTGATAAAACCACAGCAGGCTTTTGTGTCACCTGTGACACAGGTCACACTCCGTCCTTTTCCCTCAGATGTTTTCTACTCCCATCCTGTGATAATCCAAACACAGGAAAGGTGGGAGCCAAAGCAGACATTTGATGACTGCTGGATAAGCAGGAAACACATCAGGCATTTTTTGGATTGCAGTTTTTTTCTTAAAAAAGAAAATCACCAAATTGATATGAGGGCAGCAGGTAGTTTACTGGTGTAAGCTTTTGCATTTACACCAGCAGGGAACCCACCTTAGAGCCACAGCAGAGCTGCCAAGCAGCATCTACCTCCAAAGCCTTTCAGCAGCCTTTTGCCTCAGATTTGTAAGTATACAATTTGGTATCACCTGTTAGAAACATTTAACACTGTCACCAGCTGTGGAAGACAGACTTACTGGTGCAACTCACAACTACTGCCACAACCACGCCAGCTAATTCACCACTGTCCCTGCAGATACTCTCTTCATCCTACTGTTAATGTTCTTTTTTTATAGTGGTTGCAAATTATGTTATTGATCACTCTTTCTCCTCATATCAGTGAGAAAATGTTACACAGGCCCCACTGTGTTGCACTGTATTGACACTGTGAAGTTATTTTGATTCCTTCCCCTTCAGGTGATCAGTTTCCTAGTACGACTCTAACAGAAAACCAAAAAACAGCACTGCACAGACTGCAATAGCCAAGCTTCTCTCTGCTCACTTCTGATGTTAACAACCTATCCTGTCTGAAAGTTGTATCCTTAGAGACATAAATAAACTTCCAGACTTATGCTCCCCTCAGGGTGAAGCATAACACCCATCAGTATGACGATCAAGGCAAAATACAAGCATCTTTCAGCATTCCATTTTCTTAAGGATGGGTGTTTTCGCAGGATTTTGGTAAGGATTTTCTTCCCCTTGAAATCAGGAAACATGACTTCATTTCAATATAAGAGATGTTAGATAATGGTATAAGAGAAACTGCTTAGAAAAATGGCAATTGTCATAAACAAAACATAAGGCATATTAATTATTAGACAGTTGTGTGCAAGTCTGAAACGGTAAAACAATTGAAATCTTGCCTTCTCAAATTTTTGTTGAACATTACGCTTCTCTTCATCCAGCCCAAAAGCTGTTTCCATAAGGAAATGCCACAGATAGCAAGGAAAGAAAATCCCAGGACATCCAGCACAGTGGTTTGATTTATCATGTGTATAAATGTGCAGTTTCTACAGAGAATGGAAGTACACCTGGCTGGATCCGTGCCTCTCCAACTCAGCACAATTGCAACAAATTTAGGCCATTAATACATGAAGTGATGTAACTGCATTCACACAAATACATTCAGAACAGCTGCTGACAAATTCAGACTGAAGAGTTCAGTTTTGTTTAAGGTTGTTTTTTTTTTCCCCTTTCTGCTTTCAGTATATGGTGAGAAACTAAAACTACATGTGCATGACTTCTTATTGTGGCAAACCATACAGAGAAATTGCCATCTTAAATAACACAAAAGTCATGTTGAAGATACAAAGTTAGAGCATATGATGTCCCAAATTAACTTAACGATGCTCTGTGGTCTTATTTGAATAACATTATGGATCTCATATATGCACACTATTGCATACACAACTTTTAACATGCAATTTTCACACAGGGTTAGAGCTTTACAGCTCTTCATTACTTCAATATGATTGCATTAATATGTCCTCATCTGAAAAAGACAAAGGAGGCTTATCACTTCAAAAAGTAACTATGCATTTATGGATCAGTGCTGAGAATACCATCACCAAAGAACAGCCTGTTCATCCTAGTGAGTGCTGTCGTCTTAAATTGTCACAACATTTGGCTTCTTTCTTTGGGTTCTTCCTGCATATGCTCCTAAAAACAGAAGGAGAAAGTACCTCTTACAGTTGATAATATTGACCTTCGCAACAAGAATATCCAACAGAAATAGCTAATAATACAACATTAAGGCATTGTTATATATTTAGTATCTGCTTTTAAAAGGAGTTTTCCTTGTGTTACATTTGAAATGCCTTACAAATGCTGAAGTAAAACAGGTTAATAAAACTACTTATAAGTTTGCAAGTAACAACATATTACAGAACACTTATCAAAGAAGAAAATAGCCATTTTTCCACTACTCTAAAACATCTACAACTATAATTCAGAAGTTTTAAGATAAGTCTGTTTGTAATTTTACCAAGACAATGTGATTAAAGTATTTTTTAAAATGATATATAAATACCAATTTAATAATACAATACAAAGTCAAATGTTTAAGACAAGCTTTCCTTTTCCACCTCCCCTATGAATAAACAAAGAGAAGTTGAGACAGAGCAAGAATAATGCAAAGCATAGGAAGTTAGCATTACAGGTCTTCCAGTTACTTCTAATCATCTTCATTCTGATTTCTTTGGGACATTGGCCTAAACTCTATTCCTCAACATCCACACATACAGATCTCTCTTCTGTTGCACCTGTTCTTCCATCTGCATAGCAGCTGCCAGTCTGAATAACTTCAGCATCAGCATAAAAGTGCACAGAAGCAAAAGGGAAGCAAGTGTAAGGCATTAGCAAAATACAAAGTTCCTTCCCTTCACACATAACTCCTTTCCTCCTTCATCATGTGATCCAACTTTCTACAAGCAGCTAAAAATGCAAAGAAGTCCTGGCTAAAACTGAGAAAGAGGGCTCCAGAACTGAGAAATGGACACAGTGAGGTGGCCAAAACAAGGTGCACATGTGCTGCCACAACAGCAGCCTTGTCTTCCTGCAGAT